TGTATCTATTTGCTAACAAAAACCACAAACTACCTAATGTTCTGATACTGCTAACAAAACCTAGTTTTAATAATTAAACAAATAGACTGAGGTATCTAGGGTTAAAAATATAATTATATTTGTTTTTTACAAAATAATCATATTTATTGAATGTAATTTCTGTTTTACTTTTATTTTATCTAAAAGGACACCACATGTCGACTGCATTATTATTTATTAGACGCTTTAGTTAGTTAGTGGATCAATTAGCAGAGCTCCTAGATACGGATTATCTTTGGAAGAAGTGAACCATTTTCATTATAAATATTACGGTAAAAAGAAAAGAGAGCAATTTTCTGTTGATTATTTTTATTTATTATTTATTTTTTATGCAGCAAAGAAATGAAGGACAACAATTATCATTGCTGTTCGTTTGATTGCTTGGTGGTCTTAAAAGTCAAAGCATCCAAGGAGCCGCATTAGTTGACTGTTTGCCAAACGTTTATTGGATTAATTAATTAATTAATTAAAATACCAAATTTTGGGGAATTGTAGATATAGAGAGCATAGCTTGTGGCTTTTTGGGGTGCAATTATGCTTCATAAATACAATTGCATTGCATCGCATGCCGGCAAGCAAAGCATATCTCCACTTTCACTTCTCCCTCATGTGGTTGAAATCTAAACATTCATTTTTCCTAATAACTTGAATTAGTGACATCATTTGATTTATGACATGAAATGAGAGCTCGTTTGATTAAATAATCGTGCGTTCGAATCCTTGTAATTGAATGACTCTCAATATTAACAATTTATTTGAGCACAAGATATAGTGGACATTTGCAAATTTCAAGCATGTTAAGCGGGTGAATTAAAATTTGATATAAGATTCATCATTAACCTTCTATCAACAACTCAAATTATTGAAATTAACTAATTCATAACACCATTAGCGATGTGTTTGGAGTAGTGGTTTCTCGGTATTAATGTGGTTTGGATTCATATGTGATTTGTGCTTGTTTTGCATATGGCGTCAATTTCTGGATGTGTGGTCTTGTGATTTATCTCGTTTAAAAAGGAAGTACAATGTGAAATTATCACTTCATCCGGAAAATTTAGTATTAGATAAATCTATTCCATAATCAATCAACTGATCTTTACTTGTAATTTAACAATTGAATTCATGAGTTGAATTAAAATGCGAATATAGTGAAAACGCACGAATGAGAAAGATTTTTTAGTTAACCCCGAAACAATAATGTACAAATGGGGCTGCTTGTAACTTTCAAGTATGCCCAATCAATTATTTATTCGTGTAATAACTAATAACAAAATATGAGAATAAAACAAAAACAAATCTCATATAAAGTGCATATTAATGTGACATAAATGTAAATGTGGCATTGTTGGGATAAGAAGAAAGAATAAGTCCAATTTAACAGTTATTAGCTTTTTCAAAGGGTTAAAAACTCTACTTTACAAAAAAAAATGTAATGAACAAGTTCTTGAAGTATTAACTATTAATCATCATGATCCTCTCTTTTTTTGTTGGTCAGTTCCCTACATATATGTTTTATTACTTTTATATGAATTTTACTTTTTCGTATAAAGATTAAAGAAGAACAAGGAAATATATGTGGGGATTATTGGATGATTTTTAACGAAAAAAGAAGGAATTAAAGAGACTAAATGGGTCCAAAAATCAACATTGGCTAACTGTCCTATAATCATACACACCATTAGTACTGTATTGTTGGCTTTGCTTCTTTTGCTATTTTTATTAATATGTAAACCAAAGAGAAAATATATTAAAACATAAAAGCAAAGGATCTTGTGTCACTTCAAATGAAGGGAACTAGGCAGCCAAAGATAAATAAGTGTGTATCAATCAATATATTTTCCAATGCCACTCCTTTTGCTCCAATTTTCTTTGTGTTTATGGTACTTTTGCTCCAAATTTAATATGGTACTGTATGTACTTCTTATGTGTCATTAGATCCCTTGAGAATGATAAAAAATAAAGCACATGAGAAATGAACTCTAACCGAGTTGATAATTTGTTGTTCTAGGATTAGTGGCGGAGTAAAAAATTTGAAAGACGTGGAGAGTGTGTAAAAGTATTACACTTGATGGATTTGAACCATGGTCATTAATGAGGGGGGACTAGTGCCTTCTATTTTGAGAATGTGTTAAACATTTTACATGCAAATTTACCTAAATTTGAAAGTTGAGTGGGAGGTATAGTCTCCCCTAGACTTAACGTGGCTCTGTCAGTGCCTATGATTATTAACTAATATGGGTATTGAAATAAGGCAAAATACACTTCCATAGCCAAAATTATACGCGTTGTGACAATAATAGCCATTTTTTGAAAAATACACAAATATAGCCATTCCGTCTATAAACTTAACGGTTCTGTCATGACTGCTAACTGGACAAACGGTAACTTGTAACGTGACCAGGTCTTGTCTAAGTGGCAATGCCAGGGTGGAATTTGTTTTAAACTTAAGTTATTAATTACAAGAAAAATACAGAAAATATGAAGGAAAGAGAGTCCGCTTCTTCACCTTCTCCTTCCTCCTAATTTTACTCTCTGCCGACAGCCAGCCTCTGTTTCCCTCCGGCTCTCCGGCACGAGTGAGGTGATCTTCGTCGGCGATGGTGGAGCGGAGGCGGCTTATACTTTATCCTCTTCCTCTTTCTTTGATTCCTTGAAGCTCTCCACCTCCCACCTCTGTTCTGTCATTCATTGAAGATCCAATTTAGGGTTTTGTTTCAATTGATTCCACCCTCAATTAATTATAGAAACCAGATCTTCCCCTTATAGACTTCTTCCCCTTCCACTTCTTCTTCTCTCCGTTTACAATCCACCGGCCGCATCCATATGCTTCGTCGCCGACTAGAATCGTGACCAACCAACATCCACAGCTACGAATCAACTACCCTAACTCACCCAGTCCGCTCCCTCATTCTCCCGGCAGGCATGGCCATAGATTTATCCCCCGACCAATTCGCAGCGGCGTGGCAGAGTATCACATCGACTCGTGTAGAGGTGGAGAAAAACCCTCACCCCGCCGCACCAATTCCGTCACTCCAGTTCATCCCGAAGGAATCGATGGCGGTGAGGATGGTGTAGGTGAGGTCGTGGAGATGGAGCGCCATCCCGGCGGCCCCGCAGCCGGTGCCTAGCTCGATGGCTCTGTTGTGCTCAGAGCGGAAGGTAGAAGGGATTTCTTCGATATGGAAATCTGGGAAAGAAAGGTGATGATTTTGCGGCGGAAGGTAGAAGGGATTTGTGGGGAGAGAAATTGATTAGGCAAGAAACAGGGACGGAGGAGGCACCTGGAGATTTGGTTTGGGAGGAGTAAGGGTTTGGGGCGGTGGGATTTTTTTAGCAAAGGGGGATTTTTTGGCAGGCGGGGGTAGCTGGTAGTTATGAGATTTTTATTAAAAAATATTAAGTAATTAATTTTTTTAATTAAAATGTGACGTGGCATCCAGGTGGCATTGTGTGTCTTGCTGGAGCTGACGTGTGAGCTGATTTGGCATCCACCTCAACATAACGTTCACGTTACGGACGAAGTTACTAACGGTGTTAAAGATTTTAACGGAAATGGCTAAATCTGTCCAACTACTTTTCAAAATGTGGATATATTTGGGTATTTTTCCAAATGTGGCTATTATTGTCACAAAGTGCAAAGTTATGGCTATACAAGTGTATTTTGCCTTGAAATAATGTGATACGTCTCAAATATAATGTATATTATGTGAGTTCAGCACGAGTAGCTTAGTCCACATAACTGTTTTTTTTTTTCCCGTTGTTGGTTCATCCTTTGTGAACTGCAGCTTCTGTTTTCTCTCTCTTTAATAATACATACTAGTCACCCTTATAAAAAAATATGTTGATTGCCAATTGTATTATTCCCAATTGGCATTGATAATAGAGATTTGTTACTAATTGACCATCACTGATGCACTCAGAAAATAATAATCAGAAATCCGATTTTCATAGTAATGAATTAAGCAACAACATATAGTTTCTCGTCATCTCCTTTCTAGCGTTAGGTGAATTCATTGCCGAGATCTCAAAGGCCATGAAGCTCATATACAAACATCTCTATGCTACGAAGAATTAACAATCCACCATCCAACAAGTAATTGAAAGCATTCGTATTCACGATCCTTCAAATTACACTAAAAAGAAAATTTATGAAAATTCAAAATTTTCAACCACCTCAACTATGAATCCGTTGGCTCCCTGTTCTTGTTTCTACTCCCTCCTCAAATTCAACTTTAAAAACAAAAAATATAAAATTCCACTTAAAAAGTTGAAGGCAAATAAGAGGGAGGGAGGAGACACTACTTCTCCTTCTCCATAAACTCTCTCCAGTCTCCTGTTCCTCCTCACTCCCACTCCTTTCTCTAGTTCTCCTTCACTCTCCTCCTTCCTTCCCTCTCTAACTCTCTCTCTCTCTCTCTCCCCCATTCACAGGCGTGGATTTTGGCTTTCATTGCTTTCTCTCTCTACCCTTTTCCTCTGTTTTCTTCTTCTCACTCTGTTCCTCTGTTTCTCTGTTCCCTCTGCTTTGTCTGAAAATCATCGCCCATCATCATTCCACCATGTCTCATTCTTCCAGCTAGCCTCCAACACCACACCTTTCTCTCACTACCCCCCACCACCACTGTTCTGCTCCTTGTTTCTTTCTCTCTGCCATCGCTAGAAAACAGAGCAAACCAACAAACCAAAAAAACAGAGCAAACCAGAAACCCATGGAGCGATCAACATCTTCCTCCGCCTCGAGACGCCATCACAGCAATAGCAACAACACCAATAACCCATCTTTCTCTTCCACTCTCCTCGACGCCATCTACCGCTCCTTCGACGATACCTCCTCCGTCGCCTCCGGCGGCAGCAAGAACATGAAGTTCTACAGCGACAAGGAAATTGCAGCCGCGGCAGCGAGGAAAGGGAATTACTACAGTGCCCGTAATTTGGGGAAAGAAGAGAATGGTTACGAGACAATGAAGCAGAAGAACAAGAAGCAGAACCAGAAGAGCTCTGGCTATGGATGTGAGGAAGAGGCAGAGCGTGAGAAACAGAGGAGGCTACTTCTCCAAAACGCTGCGTTTCGTGAGGTCCGAAGGAAATCTGGGGTTGAGTACTCGAGCTCCAGCTCGTCGGATTCGAGCAACGGAACCGGCGCCGGGTTCTCTTCCTCCGACGACTCGTTCTCCATCCCTGTCCCCAGATCCCAAGTTCTCAAGCCGATTCGAACCTCTACCACCTCCTCATCGGAAGCTAGGCCGCGGCAGGAAAAATCGGACGTCGGCGGCGGGGGAGGATTTGTGAAGAAGAAATCGAGGTCGTTGAAGAACATCTACGGCGACTTGAAGAAAGTGAAGCAGCCGATTTCACCCGGCGGCCGGCTCGCCAGCTTCCTCAACTCGCTCTTCACCGCCGGCACCGCCAAGAAAGCGAAGATCGGCGGCGACAGAGACGAGATCCGGCCTTCTAATTCTACTTCAGCGTGTTCCTCTGCCTCGTCGTTTTCCCGGTCGTGCTTGAGCAAAACGCCGTCGTCCCGCGGCGGCGGAGGAGGCGGGAAGCGGTCGGTGAGGTTTTATCCGGTGAGCGTCATCGTCGACGAGGATTCCCGGCCGTGCGGGCACAAGAGCGTGTACGGCGAGAGGCGGGAGGACGCAATGGCGATATCGACGACGAGAGTGGTCTCCGCCGGAATCAACAACCCGGCGGCTGCAGCGGCGGGGAGTGAAGAACTGAAGTATCGCGTGATGAGTGAGAGCCGCCGCGTGGAGGAGGTGGCGAGGGAGCTTTTGAAGAGTTATAAGCAGATGAAGAGCGCCGCCGCGGTTGAGGAAGAGCTGTTTTCGTGGCGCCGACGTGGAGATGAGGTAGAGATGGAGGTCGACGAGGAGGATGACGACGTGGCAAGCTGTGCCAGCTCGGATTTGTTCGAGCTGGACAATCTCTCGTCGATTGAAGGGATCGAGAGGTACAGAGAGGAATTACCGGTTTATGAAACTACCCATTTCAAAACCAATCGAGCGATTGCCAACGGTTTAGTCTACTAATCGTCGTCGCATATCTTCCGTCGCTAATAGTAATGTATCAAGAAAAGAAGTGAAACAATCGGGGTTGGGGAATTTTAGTTTTAAGAGTTTCTAACTAGTTATTTTTCTCAATTTTCGTAAATTGAATATTGTGTGGGGGGATTTTTAATTTTACATCAAGAGAAGAGAACAAGATTTCTCTTTTATTAGTTATAAATGTTAACCATCTTCCCTTCTCTTTGGTTTTGATTATCTTGGGTATATGTATATATGAGTGGAAATATTGGGGTTGAGAAATTTGAGTTCCAAGTTTTTATCTAATGTCTATTGAATCTTGTGGGTTTTTGTCAATATACTAAACCGAAAAATGGTTAGATGATGAATATATTTTTATATATATTTAGTAGAATTGAACAAGATAGATGTCGCCGGTTGAACGAACCCTTATATTTTCTTTTTGAAATGAATCAAATAACTAGCTAACCTACTAAGTTAGTTTGTTAAACATGTTAACTACTCGATTTATATCAATTTTCTAACAAGAGAGCAGTCAGTTTCCGTGTAATGGTAAGTAGTGAAGGTATTCCAATATGAACCATATTCCTTATTGTGCTTGAATTATCAAGTGTGTGTATATTTAAGTGGACTCATTAGCATTGTCTATAATTAGGTGGTTGATTTGGTGGAATTTAAAAAGTATATGGTTGGTTGTGTAGAATTATGAATCCTAGCTACCAAGAACCTAATGGAGGTTAGGGAACAAATATATAATACCCAAACAATACTAAACTTTATTCCCCATTGTTTAAACTAACCCTTTATTGTCCAAAATTATCGGAAATAATTAATATGGTTTAACTAGGCATTAAAGTGCCATGATCAAGATCTTGTTAAGAGATGGGAGTGGGAAATCTTGAACAAGTATGTGCATGAGAGACTGTGATGATTTTTCTTAATTGTTTATGTTTGCAAATGATATTTTAATTGAATTGATGTGAAAGGATGTTTAAGAGCCTCTTCCCACATGATGAGAAATTAATAATGGAAGGGGGTAAAAGAAGGAGGTTAAAAGAAGCAAGATGAAGATTTTCTAACTTGGGGAATCTAGAATTATAATGGAAGAAAATTTAAAGACGCTTACTTTTTTCACCTCATTTTGTAATTAGAATATATTGGACTAGTAGGGCCTTCTTTTTCCTTCAAACCAACAACTTAATTGTCTAGTTGAAGTTGAAGTGTGTTTTTCCCATCTCACACCTTTTTCCATTAGTTGTTGTTTGCATTTCTATTCGTATCACTAACTAATCGTGTTCAAATGTAGAAATTCGTATCACTAACTTAATTGTCTAGTTCTTGTAAAAAAAAAAAAACTTAATTGTCTAGTTGAAGTTGAAGTGTGTTTTTCCCATCTCACACCTTTTTCGATTAGTTGTTGTTTGCATTTCTATTCGTATCACTAACTAAAAATTGATGTATTTAATCAATGTATGTATTATAATTAGATGCATTGTTTCAATGTATGAATTTAAAAAATACATTGTTTGGAGATTAAGGGGTCGTTTGGAAGTTGTGATTTCAAATGGTGTATTGAGCTAATTCATGTATTTGTGAGATTAAGTCATTTTTTGGGTTATATTGAACTAAAATACATGCATTCACTTTTTGGAGGCCCCACCATAGTCACTCAAAATTGAGGGATTGTCAATCTCTACTTTTTGTTGAGATTGTTCACAATCCCTCAAAATTAACTTTTATGCCTTTACAACAAAAACACAATCTAAACCTCCAAAAAAGTATTTGTCCAATACATCAATTGATTCAATACATCAAATGATAATACACTAATTGACCCAATACATCAATTCGAAGTAGCACAACTTCCAAACGACCCCTAAATGATTTTGGTGGTCCCTAAAAAAAAAAAAAGAAACAAAGTGAGTTAACAATCCCTCAAACACAATCTCTGGTAAAAGTTGAGATTGACAATCATTCATAATGAATGATTCTGGTGGTCCCATCTGCAGTTGAAATACAAGTATTCTGTTTCAATTTAAGACAAAAAAACGGCGAATTCTTCTTATTACATGTATTGGTTAAATACATCATCTGAATCTCAACATTCAAACGATACAAATATAATAACAATCTCATAAAAACAATCACAACTTCCAAACGGTCCCTTACATTTTCAGTAAATTTTCCCGCAAATTTTGGAATTGCTCTAAGACAACCTAACACTCCTAGGCATCAAATTCGTACACTTGCTAAGCCTGATAACAGAAGTTGATGAAATCGGTTATGTATGTAGTTATAGTCACATTTTTATCTTGGGAAATATGTAACTTGTTTACTTTTCTAAAAGAACAAGATAGAACAAAAAAATCTATGCAAACCCTAATAGATTCCACGTATACATAACTTCGTCAGAGAAAACGAGCTCAGAACGCTTAATAGCCAAATAAACCCACATCCATAAACGAGCCCCAATTATTGAAAACAATACAGTAATCGATGAAACCCTAAAAAATGTCTAAATTTGATTCACCCACCAGAGGACAAAAATATGTCAACTTTGGTTGGAGAGTGGTATTTGGCTGGGCTAATCGATCGCAAAAGGGTCGCTTGCTAGAAAACAAAGACTTGAAGGTCAATTCTCCACCCAACAAAATTCGCGGAATTCTTTGACAACCTTTCCTGTCCGGTCTGTTGGACTAAATAAAAAAAAACCCTCTGCTAGAAGAATACTTTCTAATTTCCACCCATCTTTATGATAAAAGACAAAATTTCAGTTCAACAACAACAATGAAGAAACGAGGATACAATTTTTAGAGAAAATCAGAAAATATATCTAGAATATGAATTCAGGTATAAGAAAGAGAAGATCTTGTCACAGAACGAACAAGTGAACAACACAATAAGTTTTAGCATTGAATCTTCATAACATGAACACCACAATCAGTTTGAAGGATTGGAACCATTGATTATATCCAAGTCACACCCCCTCCACATCCAATTCGAAGAAACTTGTGATAAAGCTTGAACCAAAACACAATAGTCTGATTGGACCGGAAATTTTTAAGAGTAATTTCTTGTGCTAATTTAAGACCTTTGAAAAGAATATTTGTTTCATCTTTGCTTGAGGTAAACAAAGGTAAGCATCATCTCATCTATCACACAATACTTTTCCATGATAGTTAATGATCATAACACGATAGATCGCATGCTCAGAGTCGCTTAATTAGGAGTGACTCATTATAGTGAATCTCCATTGAATGAATACTTAGCAAGGGGGCACGTAGGAGACTGGGCTCCCTGATGAGTTTACTATAAGAGGATGGAGTCGGGGGTACCCTCGGGCACAATGTCTAATAAATTAGTCACTATAAGTTTGCATACTAGAAGGGACAACATGTTCTATTTTTTTAGTGGCATTTTGAGTCACAAATTTGCCCGTAGACACACACGGCAGATCACTTACGAAAACTTTAAGAATAACTTGTTGGTAGTTATATTGAAGATTAATAGTTCCATATAAAGATTGCATCTAAAGTTTCATTTTATATAACTCTAAGAAAATTTGTTTTGAATTAATAACTAAAGTTGCTTCATCTCCATAGTAACTTCACCATATTTCCACTTACACATATAATCACCCAAACAATATGTCATGATGAACAAATCTCACTAGGATTTGGCGTAGGCCCATAAGAATATAAGATGACCTCAATGCTCTCGAGTTATGAGCACATGCAAAGCTTATCGTAAATAGTTTCTCTTTTATTATGTAGTGTTAGTGGGTGCAACTTAATCAATATGCTAATAAAAATTGGTTAAGACTCAAAATGACCACTAAATCATAACAGTTTGATATGCTAATGAAGCTCTTGATGTAATATTAAATTGTGTATGTCGTAGCTTGTGAGCTTAATTAAAGATCGATCGATAGCTTCGAGTACAGATAAAGTAAAGGCTATAGCTACAGCCTTGTAGTCAAAAGTTGTATACATACATAGGCCTTGATATTATATTAAAACGATAGCGTACAAGATATGTGATTTTTATTAGTTTCGAAAATTCTTTAGAGATATGATAATACTGAGTGGAGATTACTGGTGAGAACTATTTGTTTTTGTGTAAAGGCATTCGAGCTAAGCTAACTGGGTACGTAGGTTGGACCCAAAACCAGGATGTCACATGCAAATTTAATTACTTGTCTTGAGAAATAAAGGAGAGTACTATCACACACACGAACGAGTTTAACTGTGTCTCTGAAACGATACGATAATGGTTTCTTCTTGTTATTAACTAACGTGTCATAATACGATTTTTTCAGACAAATACAAAAAATTATTAAAAAAAATCCAATGTGTCATTATCCAGTGATCAAAAGGGTAAGTACGTAACATATATCCATTGGCACTGGAAACAATGTGTAGATGTAAATGAAGAAATATCGATTCGTAGTTTCGGGGGGGGAATCTACAAGATAATCACGAACAATATTTTGTATAGATCATATTCACCTAATATAGTGAATTTCTTTTTGGGTCCAAACATTATGAATTTTTCAAATATTTAAGGTCAGTGTCCTCATACAAATTAAAAAGAGAAAATTAATAGAGGAATTAATACGAGTAATGATGATCATATATACTACCCGTACTATGGGTTGGTGAGGGTAGTGGGAAGTTAAGAGGACCATAATCATGAGTTTAATGAGTCCTTTGTGTAAGGACCACCAGCCCTCTGGCTAGTATCGTTTCTAGCTTGTTTGACATTTCTTACTATTTTTTTTTTTTTACTTACATAATTAACTATATACTTACTTACAACATATTATGCACTGCTATGTACATGGTTCCAACACACGATTATATTTATATATATGAGCTCATGCATGCACACGTTTGAAGCAGAGCCCTATTCCACGACCTTGATTCTGAACAGGGAAGATCCCCATATTATGAACCGCAATAAACATGCATTTAGAGATGGGTATGGTCGGGTTGGAGGTGAGTTTT